AAAGACACAATTTACTTTTCAAAACATTTTTTTTCATAAGATAGTTTAACATTTAGCCATGCACCCCAAAGTGGGTAAAAAATCCACACATACTCACCCAGTTCTCCGATGTAGGTTGTTACCAAGCTCCTTTTCCACAAGTAACACTCCCTTACGTACTTCTTATTCAATACAAGTAAAGGTAAATAAAAAGGACCAAAATACCCCTCATAGGTTCCATTACTAAATTTTATTGCTTCATAGTATTCCTCATGAAAGCATATGAATGTAGGCGAAAACCGTGCGTCAATCCGAGTCCGTATGCAGAAGTTATGACTAAAATACTAAAATTCAGATTTTTGGTCGAGCTGGGAAAACTGCTGTATGTGCGCGGGCCGCGTGCTTGGCCACGCGGGTCGCATGCCGTAGCAGCCCAAACACCCCCAAAAACTCACTTTTTGAGTCTTAAACTTCCATGGATGGTTTTGGTCTTTTAGGTAATCATTTGTAACACTTTTAAAGGTTTCCAAGCACTACTAAAGGGTGTTTCATCATGTCAAACATTCAACCTAATTTATTAAGTTCTCAATCAAAATGTTAAGTTTATAATGCTTACGAACACTCAAGTGAAAGGGTTAAGAGCTCAAGTTGATCAAGAACACTCTTTAACCAATATGACTTATTACCAAATCATCTAATACATCATTGGGTGTTGTTAAGTGATTAACATTACACAATCTCATGTTAATTCCTTAATGGAGTTATGGAATGTCAAATTCCATTCCAACCTTCCCATTTTGCCCTTATGGCCAGTAACTCCATATTTTAACTAGGAATCATTCATGTCTTCATGTTATTGCATTTAAATCATATAATTAGTATAACTCATGTTTATGAGTATCATATACTCATCAAATGCTCACAAACAAAAGATTCCATTATTTTCATCACATTTCACTCAATACCATTCCAATTCTAGCATATACATGATTCTACCATCATGGATGAATTTGAGCATTCTAATTGGATTTGTTGCTATCAAATATCATCTAGGTCATAGAATCTAATCTCATTTCATTATCAATTGCCATATTCTCAATTTGGGTTTTCTAGGGTTCATGAAGGTTTTCACCCAAATCATCAAAACCATCAATGGAATGATTAGTTTGAGATTAGAACCATCAAACCCACCCAAAGGGGGTTAGAAATTGAAACCTTAATCATGAAAACCTATTAAACTCGACATTAGGGTTTCACCCTCTTCACAACTTCGAATTTCAAGGGTAATAGAGAAGAGTTTTACCTTGCTAGCCTTGATTCCTTCTCTCGTCTGCTTTATTGTCGAATTCTCCTCTTGAATCAAGCCCTAAATGTCATGAAATGAAGCATTCACCATTAGAGCTCTCTATTCCTTTCAAAATACCTTCAACAAGAATGAGGGAAGTGTGCTTGCATCTTATTTCCTCAAATTTTCAGTTATGGTCCCTCTAGTTTGAGAATTTTGTTAGTTCTTACCATTACTTGCATTTTCCCAATTCTAGCATGTTATTAGATACATTTTAATCATTAACATCCTTATTTTATTTTTAATTTAAATTTTTAGGGTGTTACAAAAAACTTCTCAAACAAAAATCCATATTTCATGCAAGAAGTCTGAAACATCACTTTTCCCGTTTTACCATTTGACTCCAACACAAACCAAACTCTTGGATCCCGTAATCTACATTACCCACATCCGAATGGGTCTAAACCACTCTTTCCCAAAGCCTGAAGACTTATGATACTTGATCTTTGGGTTACGGCTCCGAATTATGAAACGACTCGAAACAGGATGTTACAATTTTATGTGACATATGAGAACATGAGTTATCATATTCCTTAGTTATCGCATTGTCACATTTTTAATTTATATCCAATGAAAGTTTGGACATAAGAGTAAATGTGAAAACTTTAAAAACACATTGGATTTATGTTTGATCGGATATACCCACATGAAATGCAAGATATGATTGACAAATATAACAAATGGATATGTCCACACATCAAAGTATATTATTTTTTTTAAAAAAGTTATAAAACAGTTGATGTAGAAATAGAAAAGAGGAGACGTACATGTTTCCCAACTTGACACACATGTAAAGTTGAATTATACTTTTGTTTGTTATATGAATAACATTGCCGAAAATAAAGACTTCAAACATGATCATTAGGTGATCAAGACTAATGCCAAAAGGAAGAATTAGATGACATAAGAGCTTGTCGTGACGGTAAAGTGACAAAATAAAGATCACTATAACCGTCACATCGGAGTACAATTGTTGTGGTCGATAGTCTTTCATAGAAAAATCAAACTTATAAAATGATATGGAAACATTGTTAGAACGAGTAAATTGATGGACAAAAATAATACTTTTTTATAGTGTAGGGTGAAGAACATAACTAAAATTACAAATATCATAGATTTTTTAAGAATACCAACATCTACATAACGATGCGAGGTGGCCCGATTTCCATATAACATTTGTTGCCAATTTAGTTTTGGAATGTCATGGTGTTACATATGGCTGTAAACGAACCGAACGAACACGAACGAATGCTTGTTCATGTTCGTTCGTTTAAGTTAACCGAACAAATGAACGAACACGAACGAGTTTTCTTGTTCATGTTCGTTCGTTTAACAAATTACATTGTTCATGTTCGTTCGTTTATGTTCGTGAACATGTTAAACAAACATAAACGAACGAAACATAAATGAATAAAGATAAACAAACATAACTGAACCTATATGAACATATAATATAGTAATGTAATCAAAGACAATTAAACATATATGAAAATAAAAGGAACTTATATGAACAACATAAACGAACGACATAAACGAATGTTCATGAACATAATTGAACGAACGAGACTATTGTACAAGTTCGCTCGTTTAACTAAACGAATAAGAATTTGTGTTCATCTTCGTTCATTTATTAGATAAACGAACATAAACGAACTTTACGCCGAACGGTTCACGAACAGTTCACCGAGTTCGTTTACAACCCTAGTGTTATAAGATTACACAAGAATCATTAGTTGGTTGGGTGGGTCGGGTGCTTATTGTTAAAGCCTAAGACTTTGGGTGGTAACATGGGCTTGGGGTGCAATTAGAGCTGCTGTGGCCCATTGGTGTTGCTCGTTGGGCTGATATTGTTTTTGTTGGACAGTCTGTCCCTATAAAGGTTATTGGGCTTGCACAAGGTGGGACTGACTAAATGCATGGCCATTCGGCCCATTCCATTAAAGCTTAAGCAGATAAGCCTAAAAGGGCTTTTGTGGCGTGAAATCGTATCCCCGTGACTGAATGCGAAGCGGATTTTAGCATTGACCGTCGTCGTGATACCCACCCACCACGATGATTTTTTCCATGGTGCTGTCCTCGGTTTGACAGTTGTATTGCAAGTACAGTATGAGAAGAGGAGGTCTAGTGAGGGCCTAGATTTTGAAACTTTACAAATTTAATTCTCCTTGAGTAGAAACATAGACCGTGCTTCATGAAAGTTCAGGATCGAATACGATGGTGGATGAGTTGACGATATACTTGTATCTGGGTGAGAGACCCGTTAATTGTGTAGGTAACTGTATTCTTTTCGAGTATATGCATCGATATTGTCGAGAAGATTAGTGATAAATTTAATGAGTGCAATATGCGGCAACGGATGAATTATCAATGTTGATGTTGCGAAGTTAGTTTACTAGTCGGTGGATTTTTGCGTCTTTATTATCCCACATAAATTTTTTGAGATTGATCCAAACATGATGAGAGGTTGAATAGATTAATAAGGGTTAAATAAATCCAAAGTTTCATAATGGAATCAATTTTCTTCAATTTTGAGTTTCTCATGTGTGGCACATAGTATGTCACAAGAGTCATCTATCTGATTAATCATGCCAAATTCGGTGCAAAGAGGCTCGAAAAACTCTCCAAGCATCATAGTAGAGTTGTTCAAGATCAAGAATAGGATGAACATATGCTTTTATGTTTGTTACGTCATACGGTTTTTTGAAGGTGGGTGACTAATTTTCATTGTTGTTGGCCTTGAGAAAAGAAAGAGGAAGAATTAAAGGACGGGAGATTGGAGAAGGGAGGTGGGAGGTGGGAGGAGGCCAAAAAATTGAATAGGGTTTAGGGTTTCGGGTCTGTTCCATCACAGTGACATATAAGTATAAAATGGGCTTTGATATATAAATACAAATAAAGCTAAATACATTGGCCAATATAAACTCTATATTAACACCGCATTTGTTTAAATATAATTAAAATAAGACGGATTGGCCTTTATAGAAAAGGTAACAACTAAAAACCCTAATACTACGACCCTCTCATCCCTCTAAATTCAATGTCCACCTCCTCTACCTCTAAATGAAAATCATATTTTATTTTTATTGTTGGTGTCAAGCAACATTCGTATCAATGTGTGTTGATACTGTTGGAAATCAATCTTAAAAACCGTCTCTTACATCAAAGTATTCCTACGTATTGAGAAATGCAACTCTAACATCCTATGGATGTGATTATGGCCTTATGGGTTGATCATATATATTATGTTCTAATTGAACCTGGTACTCAAAATTTAAATTTTTTTTAAGTTGTCTTCCTTTGTCCTCCATTATGCGTGGTTCTTTAAATCTAATCACAACTCCCTAATCATGTCATTATTGGGATTTCTTTCCATTTATTATGTAAATTTTACACTTAATAATAAAAATCTTGACTATTTTATTTAATTATAAGTTCATTCCTAACCGAAGCCCAAATTTATGATGGAACTAGCAATTTACTTCAAACCATAAAACCATAAAGACGATTTATGTAATCTATCTATAATATTTTAATAAAAAGTAAATAAGATGCTACGGATCTACGATGAATGAATGATTGTTAAATTTTTTATGTAACATAACTTTTGTAATAAAATAAATAAAGAAAAAAGAAAAAGGGAAAAAAAAAGGTCATTTTGCAGCCCCTCGGCCTATAAATGGTTCCAAGAGATGGACTACCCAAAGCATCCCTTCCTCATAAAGAAAAAATACACACTACTACAAGACTTAAAAATGAAGTCAACGACATCCACCGCAATATGTGCAGCAGCAATAATCCTGTTGATGGTCTTGGCCGGAACGCAGGTGGCCACGGCGGTGACATGCCAGGTTACACAGCTGGCTCCATGTGCAGCGGCCATCTCATCATCATCACCACCGTCAAAGCAGTGCTGCGCAAAGATACAAGAGCAGAGGCCATGTCTATGTCAGTACTTGAAGAACCCTAGCCTGAAAGGTTATGTTACATCTCCCAATGCCAAGAAGGTGGCCAGGACTTGTGGGGTTCCAATTCCTAAGTGCTAGAATACTACCCCTCATGCACTATGTATTGCTCCTGTAATAGTGACGAGTGCTTAATTATTCTTCTCTTTTAATTAGGTAGTGGTGTGCTGTCTTAATTATGTGTAATCGTTCCATCTATGTCTTAAATAAATAGTTTATTATACTTTTTCTCTTTACATATTGTTCTAGCCTTCTAGGTTTATTTTCCTTGTTCTAAGATGTTGTGTTATTGTTGAGATTTTTATTTGATTATGTGTATATTGGTCTAAAAGATGTTAGATATGCCATTAATTTTCTTTGTGATTTTTTGTGCATCAACAAATTAAAGCTGTAAAATTGTGGACAATTTAGTTGTTATTATTATTATTATTATTATTATTATTATTATTATTATTACTATTAGAGATAATATCTTGAAAATATATTGCATTATAATGCATCACGATGGGAGAAAATATATATTGGTTTTTACTTTTTAGAGATGTTTTTATATATTCTTTAGTTACCATATGCTGAAAAATATGGGAGCCTTAAAATGCTTTCCTTTTAATTAAAAAGCTTTCATTGTAGCTTTTTTCTAGTATTCAAGAGATTTTTGGTTTGAACAAAATACACTTTAACGGTTTTAGAGTGTGTTGCATGGAGAAAAATCGTATTTCCCTTTCATGATAAGTCGTTTATTTGGTTTCTAAGTTACAACTTTCTATTGATTTAACCTTAATTTTATTTTATTTTTCTATAAAAAACCATTATGGTTTTCCATTCGATCATTTTAGCAGGTTTCAAGCAATTTTCTGGCTTTTTATACATGCTTTTCGAAAAAAAATATAAACCATTTTTCTTTTAAAGGCAATATTATTATTATTATTATTTTTTGAAAAAAAACCCTCACATTTGACAAAACAATTTGTTTTTAACAAGAATCATATGAATCCCCTAAGTTGCTTAACCATGACTATTCACATAAACCCTTATGCTAAACAACATACATAACTTGCTACAACACTTCCTAGGCTCTCCTAGGAATCCTCGTCTCACTTGCTCCTACACTACAAGGAACTTCTACCAACATCGTCGGTTGCCTTATGCATGCAAATTATACACAAAACGGGATCACATAGACTGTCGAATAAATAATTATACCCTAAACTCACAACCAGACAAGGAATAGGAAATGAGGCTAAATCAGTCATTCTAGGGCTATATGATCCTAATCATATACAATTTTTAAATCATACACTTAACAATTAACTTTGCCGATATAGATCCCATGTAATACATAACATCCAATCTCCCTACGCTACACGTCATCACACAAATCATACGATTCTATCATGCGATTCATGAAGATATCCTTAGCCCTAATCTAGCATGCAGTTTACATAATAGCATACTAATCATAATACCGACGTATGTGTATTTTGGGAATTACTTGATTGAGCTCGACTAATTGCACGCATTGCACTCTTTTTTGTAATAATCTTTTTAGAAAATTTATTTTCTTTTGAAAAGATTATCAATTCCTCAGTTTGAGTTCAGACACACCCGAGAGTATGACCGAATCCCTCAAACCAATGCTCAGATACCAAATTGTAACATCCCAAAATCACTGCTAAAAATTTTCTTTTCTAAATCATCCATTTCATACATTAAGTGTATCAAAACCAATCACGATAAAATTTAGTTTAACATCAGAGTAAAATCAATAGTCGTCAATGCGGAAAAACATAGGGGAGTGTTGTGCAGTCAAGCCGGGGCCTTCCCTTTAGAACTGGAAGTACCTACAAATGTTAAACCATAAAATCGTAAGTACAAAGCTTAGTGAGTTTCCCAAGATACCACATACCATACAAATGGGCCCAACCCAACATAAAAATCAGCCCCATACAAGATACATATAATGTTCCCAGCCCAACATGGAAATGGGCCTAGTTCATTATACATATAAATGGGCCCAACCCAACATGCAAACAAATAGGTGCAACCAAACATGAAAAATGGGCCTAGCCCAAGATACATACAAATGAGCCCAACCCAATATACATACAGATGCAAGAGTCACAAAGAAAGCTTGTTGGGTCACATATTCGTATAGATTTGATGATGCAAAATATATACATTATAGTTACAGTTTATCAACTCATTGTAGATAGTCAGTCATGTCTAAGCAAGTGTAAATAATACACTTAGAAAAGTTGATCTGTTAGAGTTTGTTTAGTTAGATAATATGGAGATATGCTAATGGAAGTTCGTATGTCGAAGACTGAAGATCATCCCTTGATAAGCAAAAGACCCTAAAGACTCTATCAGCACCAAAGGTATAAAATCACCATTCACTGAAGACTAATCAGTGTGTCCATACATTGAAGGTCCTATAATGATGACACACAAGTGATACACCGATGACACACGCTAATGGTTATACACTAATGAAACTGAAGCTGATCAACGAGACTCCCTAAAGTTGATGCTCTGATCAGCGTATGATGTGTTGATGATGATATCCGAACATGGAGTAGATCAGATCTACTTGGTGAAGAAGTATTCTGAAGATTTGATCTGATCCATTCCTTATATACTAGATTAACTTACTTATTTAAAATAGGTTAGAATCAATCCCTTGATTGAAGGGATTCTATAGGATAGATTAGTATATAATCTTGTATTAGGGTAAAACCCTAATTAGGTCTTTGTGACGGCTTTGTGTCAATTGCTTTGTGCACCGTTTTCTTTGTGAGCACTGTTCTTATTAAAAGATATATTTTCGATAATCCTTTGTTATTCTATTGTTCTTTCTTGTTTGTATCTGATCTACAAATCTATAAAGGGTTTGGGACCAACACAACTAGCATTCTACATAGTATAGTGAGAAGATTCACTTGTGTCATGATGTCAGATAACCACAACTAATTGCCACGAAACCAATGCTACAAAACACCTAACAATCAAACAAGGTCCCACCTTCGCCTAAAGTCCAAAACTAGTCACTTTGTCCAAAAGTCAAACCATGTCAAGAAGTCAACGGTCAAGGTCAAAGCCAATGGTCAGCACTTCCATTAGCTGACCCTCATGTCGTGACTAGCTCAAGGTCACATTGTGAGAAACAGAATCAACCCGGTCCCAACTCAGTCGCATCTCAAATCATCTTAGATCCAAACGACCATCACGTCATGATGTACAGGTTGTCACGTCGTGATCGAATCAGTCCAAATTAATTGGGGAAAACCCCAGTCATCACGACGTGGCAATCAAGGGTGTCACGTTGTGAAAACCGGTTATCCCAGCTTATTGGATTCAGTTATCCTCCCATTAAGCCATTCATCCAATCTTTCCATAAAGCATCCTATGGTCCAATAATACCTAAAGGTCGATGATTTTTATCCATACATGCTTATTCTGAGTCTTAGACCCCAACTAGGTCAAACATGAAGCAAATAACCAAAGATCAAATGCATGGGTCCAATACACATTCAATTTCCAGATCTGAACCATATAATATACAAAGGACCTCAAGGATCCATAAAGTAGCTAACTTTATGGAATCCTACCATTCCAACTACCTCATAAATGAAGAAAGTGGAACAAAACCTTAGATCTAGCCACCTATTATAAGAAAGTTTGGGTCTTGGACACTTACAAAGGTCCAAAGATGCACAAAATGAAGCCCCAAGCTAGCCAAGATGCTCAAAACACTTCCAAGTCCTCCTTCCTTCACAAGCAAACACAAGCACCAAATTAGCCTAAAATAGAAGAGAGGGATTAGCTTTTTCTTTTATAGGTTTGGAGGTGATGGAGATTGAGGGTGAAGGAAAACCTAGGCCCTCACTTCCTTTAAATAGGGTCCAAGTCTGAAATTAGGCTTTTCCATTTAATCAGGTGTCATGTTGTGACACCACATAGTTTCACGTCATTACACTTAAATGACCCTTCCCGCATAATGCGACTATGTGACGATGTGATGGTGCTTCCCTCACGTCACCTTCAAAATCCACATTTTACTTAAAATTTCGTACCTTAATGATCCGAATGTTACATATGATACTTTCATCATGAACCATGACATGAATGGGTTGGAAAATCCTATCTATGAGTTGTATTCAATGTTGAAAACTACTGAGAAAAACATCCCAAAGAAACCCTCCTCCCCCAAAGTGCTCATGATTTCTGATGGACAAGTCAAGTAGAAGAAACAAAGCAAGAAATCCAAGGACAAGCCACAAGATGGAAAAGGAAAATGGAAGAAAGCTCCCTAAGCTGAACCGCTAAAGAAGAAAGAGAAAGTTTCTAAGGGTGACACTTGCTTTGAGTGTGGAGTTGTTGGGCAGTGGAAATGGAATTTTCCTATATATCTTGCTGGGTTGAAAGCCAACAAGGTCGGGGAAAGCAATTCAGGTATATCTATTTTCATGATTGAAATGGGATTATCTATTTTTTCATCTAACACTTTGGTATTTGATACTAGTTGTGCAACTCACATATGTAATTCATTCTAGGGGTTTGGAAAGAATAAGGAGATAAAAGCGGATGAGATGGTACTACATGTTGGCAATGGAGCACGGGTTGCAGTCCAACTGATAAGGCATTTTGATTTTTGTTTACCATTTAGTCTATATTTTTCATTAAGCAATATGTGTTTGATAACCTCTAGTACTAATAAATGGAATTTATGAATTGAACTTTGATAACACTTCAAAAAATAAGTCCCTTTATCATGTTAACAAAAAAAGGCTAAACAAGATTTGAACAAAAAATATCTATGACATTGTCGCCTGGGTAAAATAAACAAGAAATGCATATCCCAACTCCAAAAGAGTGGGATTTTGGGGGCAATTAACAATAAGTCATTTGATATATGTAAATCTTGTTTATTGGTAAGATGTGTGACATCCCCATTTTCCCGATCAAAAAGACCATTTTATTTCTGCTTATTTTAAAACAGAGTATT